TAAGGTCATGCGGACAACACTTTTCAGAGTCGACGCTTTAACTGAGTGAAGAATACTTCAAAGTTAGACCTTTTCAGCTGTCAGGTGTTTAAAAATGAAGTCAGAGAAAAACAGAAAGGTGAATGGGAAAAATCATCATGGTATTTGCACGCCTTTCAACACTTCTAATACACACTGGAACACACACACCTGTGGATTTTAGCCAAATTCATTTCTCCATTTATGCCACCAAAGGGCATCATAGCCTAATATAGGAAAAAAAAATAAAATGCTCATTACATTCAAATTAATTAAATATTCAGTGAATTGCTGGCTATTTAAATCTTCTAAACAAATTCAAAATATTAGCTTAGAATTCAATTCCTCCACCATATTTGATCTGTTATGAAACATAGAGCACCTTTGTCCATTTTGGTGGCTAAGACCTTCTGTGCTGCTTTAGCTCCACAATTCTTGATGTAAACATGACTGGTGACTTACGACAACAAAACATTGAAAGTTATGAGTTCAACTGACAACAGCATATCATCTGTGAAGAAACAATTGACTTAGTTTCCATCTACACTGACTTGAGCTGAATGTGATAATTATGTGTGGCAATTGCAGAGAGCCTTGATGTCTGAAGAAATGTTCAATATTCTAAACCATTTGCTGCTGGTAATTGTTCCCATTTTTAAGCGAGAAAAAGTGGGTTTTGTCTCGGAAGAAAGGGTCCAAAGAGAGAATGGTGACAAAAAATGGCTGGCTGCATATCAGGTTGGATCTGTCTGAAATTAGCAATCCATTGGACCTGAAACAATTCCCTCTTCCAACACCTTTTTCTCTACTCTCGCCTCCTGTCGTCCATTAATGCCGACGCCAATAACAAAGAAATCCTTTAAAGTGTTAATGAGAGTTTGAAGAATGACTCGCTAGTGATGATTAGGTGATAATACACATACAGAATCCAAAATTTAGACACGTCGCACAAACCTAGAATAATTACTAATTAGTGGTGATAAAGCAGTCATGAGCAAAAAAAAAACAAAAAAAAAACTTGCCCTTGACACAAAAGAGCACACTCCAGGGGGCTAACTAAATAATATAACAGATCACTTTTAACATACACAAGAGAATATGTCCTGGAGTTGGAAAATGGCTGATGTTCAGCACTTATTAGTGTCCAGTATTGGTTTAGTTTTTTTTTGTTGTTGTTTTTTTTTCATTCTGCAATATCTTATCAAAAACACATGAAGTTATCCTTGACAAATCCCAGTTGTGAGATGTTTTGTACTTCAACAAATCAGAGAGCAACTGTCTGTTGTAGCATTTTCCAGAATTGGAGCCATGGCGGCAAAAAAGACGCTACTCAGCACGTTTAGCCGCCGTGAAAAGATGCATTAAAATCACTCCTCCTCGCTTCACCTAAAACAAGGGGTCACTTTTCGACTGCTCGACCACAAGCAGAGACTGTTCATCATGTTGACAGGTTCATATATCGCACCTTGTCTACGCTAACACAGATAAATCTGAAAGCATCTTTTTCTCTTCTACCTTTTGACCTTCCATACCTACCGATCCGGCATTTTACAAATAGGGATACTTCCCATATTGACATTTTTGCTTCATTAGCTCTGACAGGTCTTTTGATGTTTCCTAAAACAAATAACACCTGGAAAACACAGCTTGGAGTGAGCAATTTGTATGAGACGTGGCTTAAATTTGTATTTTCATTCAAAGGTCAAATACAGTTGAGCCTGCAATACCCTTGAAGGATGTCAGCATTTTTGTCGAGCAAAGCAAAGCAAGGTCAGGCCTTGAACAGAGAATCTTTAGATCCACAGCTCCTTTAAGTATCACGTCAGTGGTTTTGCTTGATCTCCACTTTTACGTTTTGTGTTTTCTGTCTAACAATTTGCACTCTTCCACATTGAAAATATTTTGCACACGAGTTAAAAACAATCAAAGGTTGTCAATATGAAATCTCCTTTTGCCAGCCTTTGCTAAGATTTTGTTTTCTTAGCTAATTTTTGGGACATTTTAAAAATTTGTTCTTGAAAAGTCAGAGATTTGGAATAACTCTCATTGCTCTTTGAATAATTAATGGCCACTTTGGTTTTTAAATTGTGTATAAGAAAAAAAAAAGCAATAAAGATATTTCTCTGGGTTAGCTGAGAGAGTTTCCTGTAAGTTTTGCAAATGTTGTCATGTTAGAACTATCAACTTTAATTTATTTCAGTAGCAACTGAAAGCAAGAGCAGGAAATCCAGTCAGAGATCATGGGGAAATGGATGAAGCTAAATACTGGGCAAACATTGCGAAAGACCTTAAGGCTTAACACAAACAAACTTTCATCTTCCAGCAGGAAAACAACTCTAAACATACAGTGCAGTACAGTCAAAGCAAATTTTAGAATGGTTTCATCAAAGAACTATTTTGTGTTAGAATGGTCTAGTCAAAGAACCTGTGGCAAAACTTGATATCTGATGTTTACAACCCTTTCCGACAAACATGGCTGAGTTTTAGCATCATAATCCCCTCGAAAGAGGAAGGCTTTGTTAACTGATTGATGTAAATACAATGTTTAATGTCTACTCTGTATACAGTGTTGGACATAATAATATAGTGACACTTTCAGAAATTGAATGCCATAGGCCTTGTAAATGTAAACCTTCCTGTTTTGCTGCAACTGAGCACAGATTTGACAAAAACTGTGGCACATTTTAAGGGAATCCTCATCTCAGAGATGCACCGAGAAGCTTCAAACAACTTTTCCATAAACTTGGGAATTAGCAAACTGTTTGAAAACTTTGCATCCTCCTCTAAATTTAGATGTGCCACTGAGCCACAAGTGTTTAGAAATTTGACTTTCTCTGATAAATTAGGCAAAGAGGAGGCACTGTTGCAGGAGCAGCCAAAAAAAAAAAAAGAGAAGCTTTTGATGTTTTTCCAGTAGATGAAGGAGCCCTGAGACAGGTGATAGGAATGATGAAATTCAAACACGGGCCCTAATTTGCAGAAAGTGAGATATGCACTGTGCAGTGTGCATCTAAAGACTTGATATGCACCGATAGTCTAACTAGATATCGTTTTCTCGCTTTTACGTGCGCATGTGTGTGTTTGAGAGAGTGTGTTAAAGTTTGCCGGGATGGTTGTGAATGTGACTTATTGGCATGTCTCTCCGTCAGTCTGACTGCGTCTGCACCGCTTGCCTCATTCCCATCACACAGTCAATGCGGGCAGAACATGACAGACTGGTAATAACTCGAGTGTTCACGCACATACTCGTGCACACGCGCAGTTACACACATACCAGCTGCTTCTTTCCTCCTTTCTCATCAAACTTGTCATCAGCTGTGCCAGTTTGTCTCATCTCACATTAAGAGCTCATGAATAATATGTGATTACCCAGGACCTTCCGAGAAGCTCCTGGATCTACTTGTGACGTACCCAGATACATTCACGCAAACACGCAACTCACCTAAATATACACGGTTCAAAATATCTTGCTATTTGTTTTTTTTTGGGGGGGAGGGGTGGAGGTTTCCTTCTTTTGGGCTTTACTCCTCCAGATTTACACCACAGACCACAGATTTGCACGCTGGGCACAGTCAAGTTTGGTGGCTAATATTTCCCGTCGACACAAAAAAAGAGTTTCTTTCTTGCACACACTCGACAAACAATGCAGACCAAAACAATAGACTAGAGGTAATTAGGCCTATTTTTGTCTTCTCAACTCATTTCCTCCTCACAGAAGTAATGTGATTTGACTCATTTAATTCCCAAAGGAGAGGAAAAGGACTGTAGCGGACAATGGCTTCATGCTTGACTAAACGATTTTTCCTCTTTTTGAAATAAAAAATATTCCAGTCTTCTGCCTTCCACCCAAAGGACGGGTGGAGGGGGGGAAAAAAGAGGAAAAAAGGCTATTTTATTGCTCGGGAAAAGAAATTATCACTGTGCACAAAAAAATATTCTCATTTACCCTGCAGCTGTATTAGAGTGTTACTGGGTCTGATGAGCTTTTTATTCTTATTTTTATCTCTCCTACCTTCAGGTAACTTTAGGAGTTTCTTGTGAGGACACACTGGTGGGGTTCCTACAACTTTTTTTTTTTTTTTTTTTTACATCAAAATTGCATACTTTTTCCTCATCTTTTTTCTTTGTTTCTTAGCAGACTTTGCATTATGAAGTCTGTTTTTTTTACAGCAGTCTCTGTAAATCCCCATTATTGTTCATATTTAAGAACAATACGAGTGTCAAAAAGTAACCTGAACTGACTTAATAAATTTGACTTAACTTGTAGAATAACTAGGTAAAAAATAAGTTACGCTAATGGTTTTCAATCCATAATTTCTGTGCTACAATGCGTAAGCTACGTAACTTCAATGCTTTCTCATAGTATATCTCAAAAAGGTTACTGGGTTTCAGCTAACTATCAAAATCCAACTATTCAGGCAAAACTTGGATAATCAGTTTTGTTTATAACAAAGAAACTTTGGGTTGAATTCTAAAATAATAATAATAATAATAATATTACATATTTCTTTTTGAATGACCAGCCCAATTTTAAAAGTAGGAAAGTGCTTATGAAAATAAAAATAGATGGAAGAAGCAATGAAGAAACAAAAGTGCAAACTTAATATGTAACTAAATGTAATTGAAGTACTACTATGGTCTGAGTTCTGGATATATTTTTAAATGGAGGCGAAATTGTATTGAATTGAACTTGCAAGATGTGAAATACAGAACTTGTAAGGACGTATAGGCAGCACCTTTAGATAACGGGGCAGGGCACAAAGTCAGAAGAACAATTACCTTTACATTTTTTCCCCCCTCAATGCATTTCAATCCATGAAACTTCCATCTCTCAGCCCTCCAATTAAAGAAAAGTCAGAAGATGGCCTCACTTACTTATTTCAGAGTACTTTACATGCCCAAGTAGTGAAAAAAAAAAGAGTTTCCCCTCAAACAAGACAATAAAACATGCACATTCCCCTCCACTCAGCATGCTCTCCTACCGGTGAGTCACTGCTTCCAGTTGGGCAGAGTGGTCCTCTGAAGACACCCTTGACTCGCCGAAAGTGTCCATTGCTCAGGTGAGTGGAGCTGATAACCAGGTAGTAACACGCACTACACGCCATCCCGGGGGAATCTCGAGGCTTGGGGCCCATTAAACGAGTGGGAGTCGGTTCCTCCTCCACCGATCTGAGATGCGGACGATGCCCGGTCCTGCCCGGGGGTGCTGCAGGTGTGAACGTCTCACTCCAGTTTTCTGATGAGAAGTGAAAAACGTGGGGCATGATAGCTTTCTGTGGGATAGCTGCCTCTACTCCTCGAATAAGAGGGGCATAAACGGAATAGATTAAGAAAAAAAATAAAATCAACTAGGATGTCTTTACTTACCAAACTCTTCCGCTGGAGTCTGCGTTTGGCATGCTGTCCGTCGGTCAGGCTGGAATAAATGGGTGAGCGCCTGTGGAGTGCCAGAGGAAAGAGATGGATTCATCCAGGCACACAAACACACACACACACACACACACTCTCTCTCTCCTCTTCAACCCTCCTCTTGCCTCCTCATGCCCACTCCACTGTCCAGTCCAGTAAAGTGTAGCCTATAGCTGCGACAGCTCGCAAGTCGGACTTCTCAGTGAGGAGAGAAAACAAGGGAAGCAGAGACTCTCCGCAGGTGCGCATTCTTAAATTCTACGCACATCGAAAAGCGAAAAACGCTGGGAAAAAAAAAAAAAAAAAATCTCATAGCCTACTTGTCTAATTCCCCTCTGTATTGATTGGCTTCACAATCAGGTGTCTTGTGAACGAAAATCTGCGGTGCGCGGCGGGAGGGACGGTAAATCCATCCAGAGGAACAGCCTGGTAGTTATTATCGGGCTGCCGCGCAGGCAGGTTGAAGTGGTTCATTCTTTCTCCAAAACACACACGCACACACTCCTTCTCACCATCTCTCTCTTTCTCTCTCTCTCTCCCATTTCTCTCTCCAGCCAGTGTGTGTGTGTGTGTGTGTGTGTGTGTGTGTGTGTGTGTGCTGCTCTGGACCTGATTCCTTTCTGCTGTATAATATACAGCCTCAGTTGAAGCGTGGGTCTGGGATAGAGGGGGATCACTCGGCTCCACGTTGTGCTTGAGTAACTCTCAAACACACCTCCTTGCACACGCCAATTTCTTCCACCAGTATGTTTTCATCCCCCCCCCACCCCCACCATTGCTTACCATTGCTGGCGCACAAAGAAACTTTTCTCGCCGACATCATCTTAGTGTGTGGCATCCCCCCGCCCCCTTATCGGAGTTTGATGCCCTCAATCAAAGCAAACGCGTCACACTGTTTGGGCTACATCCCCGGACTGAGGAGAGGGTGGAGACAGGGTTCGCTTTGCTGCAGCCTTAGTGATGATAAAAGGGTCTTTTTTTTTCGAGCGGGTTGTGTCAAAGAGCAGCTCGGAACCAGCTGCAGCTGAGTCTGGCAAGCTGTCTCGGAGACGGAGATGCATGGCGCTGTTCACCCCAACGTGGTTCTGAAACCGTTCTGCGTGTCACACCCTGCAATTTCAGCCCAGGACTGAAGTTCATTTTGTGCTCACTCTAACGGACAGCTCCGTGTTCCAGCAGTAAAGTAGGTAAAAAAAAAAAAAAAAAAGTCCATCGCTTTTCTTTTCTCCCTCTCTTCCTTTTCTCTTTTCACTAACAGGCTGACGCTGTAACCACCCTGGACAAAATCCAGGGACCTTAAAGAAGTATAAGCACTTCATTGTTTTTTTTTTTTTCATTTTGCATACACAAACATGAAGTTCAGTGAAAACAGTGGTTGTCCCATTTTTGTTTTTACAAAAGCTGATAGATTGTGCTAGTAATATACACCTAATATGGTTCGCCCACACGCCTTTGGAAGTCCCATATTTAGCAAACAGAATCCACTTACTGTAATTTATTTTCAGTATAGATAAATCCATCATCTGAAAACAAAAAGAAGATGGAGCAACTACGAGCCTTCAAAGTTAAGGGATCTGTGGAGGATCTGCAGAGATCCACGGCTCAGGTGGGAAAAATTGATGGGACTGCTGTTATTTATGAACTCCAAACATTTGTTGCTCTTTACTAGGAGACAAATTTCCTTTGTTGACACCGATAGCAATTCTAGTTTGTTATTTGCCAGTGGGGAATCCAGCAAACAGGTGGAAGAAAGTGCTCTGGTTGGGTGAAAAAAAAAAAAAAATAGAACTGTTTAATCTAGAAGAAAACCAGTAGATGTGGAGAAAAAAAGCAATACTGGATTATCCCGAACAAAGATATTCTCATGGTTACATATGGAGATTAGTGGATAATGATGGGGTAATGCTTTTCTTGAGCATTAGTGACAAAACATTTTAGATTTGTATCTGTAGAGACAATTGAAAGCCAAGTTTTTCTTTTGTTTTATTATTATACTCTGCTTAATGTTGATCTGGCATATGAAGTTCCAATAAAATACATTGAAGTTTACGGTTCTAACATAACAAAATATGAAAAACATCAAGTCGTATGGATACGTCTGCGTGTCACTGTGTACTTCTGGTTGGCATCACTCGTAATTTATTATCAGATCCAGGAAGTTATTTAAGGTTGAGCCACTTGTCACTTGCTGGGGAGATGCAATACATCTTAACAAAAATGTCAGACTCTGAGAGGCTACTCATCCTCCAACTTTCAACAGATTTAGCACAGCTATCAATTCAGTCTGAGAGTTTGTGAAAATGGGCCACCCGGAGGGAGAGCAAAAACAGAAAAGTTCTGGCGTTCTTCCGCAGCCAAAACTCAACTTTCCTAATTATTCTTTTAATCTGTTTTACTGTTTTGCATCTGATACACTTTAAAACAGCGACAAATCCTTATAGCTCTGTGGCAAACTTCTTATTTTCAGTAATGTTCCTCTCTCGGTCAAACCGATGCTTTCTCTTTACCTTATCTAGCCGCTTGCTCAGCTGTCTTTCAAGTCTTTGACAAATTATTATCTGGTCCTTTAGGCCCCAGATTCTGCCACCTCTCACCAGCCCGGATTGTGGGCTGTATCATTACATAAATAAGCCTCAGAGCAACAGCATTCAAAGCTGCCTTGCATCTTTGTTTTGATCTGCTATGATGAGAAAGCATGTGGCCGTGCTGTTTTTAATCTGGATGTCCTCCTACATGAGAGGTTTGTTCCTTGTGGGATTTACACTTCTTAATGCAGTGCAGAAACTGAGTCATGAACGCATCAGTCCACCGTATTCACCATGCACAGGACTGTTGCAAGTGTCGTGTCTCCCTCTTACAGATCGGCAGAGATGTTTGTACAGTGTAGGGGGGAATGTGGACATATGTTGTTGAGTGATTAGCACGCGTCTACTGAAACATTCAGGAAGGAATTGCAGATGTTTTCATAGTCCTATTTTAACGAAAGCAGGCTCTGTGAAGAATTGACACCTGCAGCTTTGAAAATTTGACACATTTCATGCATTGTCATGAGTTTGTTGGATGCTGATGTTGACACAAAAGATGAAAAAATATATATTTTGTGTTTTTCCTGACAAGTAGAAATCATTTAATTCATTACTCTCCTCCCTCCCTCTTTGTTAATACCAAACACGTGTAATGTTTTTGCATCTGAAAGTGAGTGCCCATGTAGGCAGACTCAAATCAGCTGCAAAGGGCCCAGATCAATCCAGGACTGGAGGGATCATTTCTTCCAGCTGGCCTGAGCACAGCTGGGGATCTTCTAGGAAAGGTCAGAGGGGGGGAAATGCTGGTGAAAAAGTTTCCTAGACTTCTTGGCTCGCAAGAGCTCTCAGAAAATTGTTTTGCCAAAATAGCTTTTAAACCTCAGGGGATTTACTTTAATGTCTTTTTAAATGGATTTGAATGGTGAATTACAGTTCTGAATATGAATGTCTTCTAAAATGTTAGAGTAAAATATTTTTTAAGCTGCTCAGTGGCATTGTGCAGTTAGAACATTTAACGTCTTTGAGACTGAGAGGATAACTATGTAGCAGACATAATAATAAAAAAAATATCAGCAGGAAAAAAAACAGAAACAAGACGAGAAAATAGCCAGTAGTAACTTCACTGGTTACGTGAACATCAGAAATGACCAAGAAACAAAGGAAGGAGGTGATCTGACCAGATTAATCACTTTTTATTTAACATGCAATCATAAGGTTCTTGCAACTGTTGACTCTCCATATGCTTGATAGTTTTCTATATTGGTTTATTTAAATATTAAGTATTTAAAGTATTTCTATTGAAGTCTCTAGTGTCAATACTGTACAATCAGTTTTTGCTGTAATTACAGATGCCGGTCTTTTGGGGTGGGTCTCTATCAGCTTTTAAACAGCCAGATCATTGTCTCTTTGCAAAAGCAGGTTAAAATTTTCAGGTTTGATTTTGCCACAGATTTTCTGGACTTTGACTGTGACATCTACACATTTATACTTTCATCTGAAACTGAAAGCCTTACTGAAAGGTGAACCTTTGCCACTGTCTCACTATTTCTGCAGGATTGTCCTCTGTTCAGCTCAATCTATGTTCAGAGATAAACCTGTGATCTTTCAGCTTTTCATCTTTCCCAGCTGAAGAGAAACAATACCATTGCCAGTCGAGAAACATAGTTCCTCCAGAGTGTCCTGGGTCTTCCTCTGAGTCTCCTCCTGATTGGACATGGCTGGAACACGAGGGAGGCGTCCAGGAGCCATCCTGACCAGCCTGAGCCATTTCAACTGGCTCCTCTGGATGTGGGGAAGCAGCGGCTCTACTTTGAGTCCCTCCGAGATGACCAAACCTCCCACCCTATCTATAAAAAAGAGCCTCGACACCCTGTGGAGGAAACCTATTTCACCTGCTTGTATCCAAAATCTCATTATTTCGGTCACTACCCAAAATTTGTGACCATAGATGAGGGTAGGAACATAGATCGACCGATAAATCGCCTTTTGCCTCAGCTCTCGTTTTACCACGACATACCAGGACAAACTCTTTATTGTTGCACACGGGGGAATTAAAAACAATACTGTGCAGTTGTCAAAAATAGAAATATCAAACTCACAACATATCATCTATACCTACGCATTGCCGCCTGCCCAAAAAGTACAAACTCTCTTTAGAGTATTGAAGATGGTGAAATGATGTACAACATGTTATAGCTCCATATTTTGCGAAGCACTCCAAGAGTGATGCATTCAGTTGGCCCTCTATCTCACAGCACTGGTGGTTATCGTGCTAAAGCTAAAGAAAAACGATTCCATACTTAGGTTAGCTTTGAATTATTCAAAAGCAGAAAACTCCCTACTGATCGTTTAGCGTGTCTTTCAGAACATGCCAGTGTTTATTTTAACAGCCTTCCTTAAATTCAGGCCTGAACAGCGTCTTCATTCAACTAAGCCAAGAATTTGTACTATTTACATTGTATAAAGTGATCGGTTTCACGACGCCCTGCTGTTCTGTAGTTCTAAACTCTCCAACATCATGCTGTTGCTGTAATTTACTCCTGCAGCCATGGACTCACCCCCTTCACAGATGAAAGCAAAAGAGCACCTTAATGTGAATGCCTGCAGATACGTTTTCACTGTGTCTGTTGGATGGAAAACAAACTTCTTCTTTTTTTTCCCCTTCTCATCAGGTTCTTTAGAAAACAGGAAAAGAAGAAGAAGAAAAAAAAAACATTTCCCCCTCAGAAGAAAAAGGAAACCAGTTTCACACAGGAAATTACCAACTAACTGTTTTCCGACAGATGTTTTATTTAATGTCTAATACATTTA